AAAACCAGCTTGGTTTTCTCTAGTCTGTTCTCCAACAGCTTTCGTTACGCGTCGAAGTATTATTGAAGCTAATATTTTAGACACTATATTAGTCAAATTGATCCCTCTGTGATTGTCACAGGAGGACTTTTGTCCTTTTTTATAGACTGGCACAATCAGTGATTGGAACCAGTCAGATGGAATTACATCCAGTTCCCAGATTCTATCTAAGACCTCAGTCAATATTGCTGCTAGTACTGGACGGTCATCCTTAAAAATCTCAGTGGTAAACCTGTCAGGGCCTGCTGCTCTTCCTCGCTTCAGGTTTCCTATAGCTTTTTCAACCTCGTAAAGAGTTGGATGATTTACATTAACTTGCCATTAAGGTCGACTAGGGGTTGTGGGAAACCGAAGTGTGGCTGAAGGTCAATCAAAACTATCCCCAAAGTGTTCTGCCCATCGATCCAATCTCATGGATTGAGAATGAATAATATGTCCATCTTTATCTTAGATAGTTTCGCTAATAGTTGGGTTCCTAATACCGGTTTATTTAACAAGTCTGAATAGTTATCTGCTGTTACCTATTGCCGTTGCCTTTTCCATCTCTTGCTTTCGCTACCCGCCACTGTTCACGATCATTGCGTAGGCTTCTTATTAGCCTGCTCTTAAGTTGACTCTGTTCTTCGTTATGCTCAGAGCCAGATAGGATGAGTTTTCGAGAATCTATCAGTGCGATAGATGCTGCTGAGATAGAGATTTGTGAAGATCATAGTAATTTAATAGTTGGATTCATGAGTTGATTAAAGCTAGAGGCTAAGCCTTTGAGCGCGAGACTGAAGGTCCTGCGTTTGAGTACTGTATGCAGGTGCACACTCCTGAGGAGTCTCATATGATGACGAAGCAGTTGTCCAGTACTTCCAGGTTTTCAATAGTAATCTAACTTTGATCGACTCATGAATTCAACTAATATATCATAGTGAGTTAAATAAAGTTTAAAAAGCTTACAATTCCACACTGTAGATACAAATAAATCAGACTATATTCTTCAAATATGTGAAAGAAACTGGAATGTAGTACACACATAATGGTCAAATACCTTAGTCTATATGATGAATACATTGCAGATTTGATTGATGGAATTTAATCAACACGTAGAAGAACAACTTTAATAATCATCTTTTATTAATAAAATGTATGACATATTAGTTCGGTAAATTGAAAAAAAGAAAGACAACCTGACGATTGTCTGAATAAACAGTCGTTACTTACTTACGTCTGTTACCCCTCGTCGAGGAGCATAGGCCGCCCACCAGTATTTTCCATCTTACCCTGTTCTGGGCAATCCTTTCCAGTTAACATTCATCCTTTTCATATCTGCTTCTATTTCCCGGAGTAATGTGTTCTTTGGCCTTCCTCTTTTCTGCTTCCCTTCAGGATTCCAAGTTATGGCTTGCCTCGTGATGCAGTTTGGTGATTTCCTGAATGTATGTCCTATTCACTTCCAACGTCTTTTACTAATTTCCTCTTCAGCTGGAAGCTGGTTTATCCTCTCCCATAAAATGCTGTTGCTGATAGTATCCGGTCAGTGAATGTTGAGTATTTTGCGTAAAAAGCTGTTTGTAAATACTTGCACCTTATTGACGATGGATGTAGTAGTTCTCCACGTTTCAGCTCCGTACAGTAGGACTGTTTTGACGTTCGTATTGAAGATTCTCACTTTGATATTGGTTTACAGTTGTTTTGAGTTCCATATGTTTTTTAATTGCAGGAATGCTGTCCTTGCTTTGCCAATCCTCACCTTTACATCTGCATCCGATCCTCCTTGTTTATCAACGATGCCTCTCAGGTACGTGATTGTTTCCACAACTTCCAGAGTTTTGCCATCAAGTGTGATTGAGTTGGTGTTCTCCGTGTTGTATTTGAGAATCTTGCTTCTTCCTTTGTGTGCGTTGAGGCCTATTGATGTAGAGGCTACTGCTACATTTACTGTCTTCATTTGTCTTTGTTCGTGTACATGAGATAGCCGTTTTATCTCATACACACGAACAAAGTCATCTGCGAAGTCCAAATAATCTAATTGGTTCTGAGATGTCCGCCTATAGCTCTTCTAGAGTTGCTGCCGGTCCCAAGCCCGGGTAAAGGAGCGGGGTTGGACATGGGGTTAGTGACCTCATCCCGTAGAAAAACTAACTCGCTAAAAAAACATTGTCCATAAACAGTTGTAGTTATACTAATTCAACCATGTTTTCTTTATTTCTCAAGCAGGACAAAAATTATGTTTCCGCTTAAAAATTATATGTTTCAAACAACTCTACGCAAGGCGGGATCATGGATGCGCACTCCTGAGGAGTTCCACAATAAGACGAATCGGCCGTCCAGTGCTTCCAGGTTTTCCATGGTGATCTAGCTTCAATTGACTCATGATTTCAACTAAAGTCTCTACAAAAGCCACCTTCTGATAACTCTATCTGACTCTGTTCTTTCTAACTTACTCTTTCTTATTAAACGTGAATAATAAACAAAAATAGACACCCTTTAATGTTTACACAGAAAGTTTACTTGTTAACAGTTTCTTTTCAAAATAAAAAGAAGAGAAACAAACGAAGCTTATCATTGTAAACATATTTCATCAGTTTTTTCTTCTTTCTCATATATATTTCATGAGATGTTTTCATATGTTGTCATATGACTGGACAATGTATAGGTCACTTCAAAATACAAATAGATAACAACGATAGAATTACACATACATTTAATCATCTATGTGTATAATCACTAGGTGTAAGAGATTTTCAGCTCCAAAAACAAAGAAAAAATCAATCCATGTGCCTGTTGTTTATGTTATTGAGTATAAATCTATATTTAATCGATTAAAATATATTTTATTCATATAGATCTTAATACTATGATTATTATAACTTGTTCTTTTGGTTACATGTAAAAAAAAGAGATTAAGCAAGATATGATGTCTCTGATAAATGGGTTAGAAACTTTAAAGGTCGACCTTTCTTAGATAATAAAATAAACGAGGCTGATGAATGAGAAGTATGAAATAACGCTGAGTTCTAAAATTAAGAAGTAGTAAACATTTATTTGCGAATGCAAGTAATTGAGAGTTGTCATCAATTATAGACTACGTCCAACATACAAAACTAAACATACGGAACTTATTCATCTGACTAAAGGCCAACAGTAAATGCCTTCATGAACTGGTTTGGCGTATTTATTTAGCCAGTCTTTTTTCAACATGTGCCATCCATGATTGTACATCAAGGTAGGCCATGAATATGCGTAACATAACCCAGTTATCTCGGTCGATGAACTTTTTTATCTACGTCAACGTCTTACATTTTACCTCACTACTACTTATTTGATGATAAGTACTTCGAAGACATCCATAATAGATTGTGCGTAACCTATCTTTATAAATGCAGTGTACTATGGAGCGGACTGGTGTGCACATAAATATCTCGCTTGTATCGTATTACAGGTAGAGAACATTGGCAGAAGTCAAACGAGTTTTCTATATCAGTGTCGATCGGACTGACTCTTAATAGCTGATATGATTTTAATTGGGCGCCAACCGACTTCACTCCGTGACCAGAACAGACATTGCCGAAAACCGCTCATGATGCTCCATTTGGAATTTCGAGGGGGATAACTTATTCTAAACATTTTGTGTTGTTCAACAAACCCAGGAACTTCCTCAAAAAGAACAAGGATCTGCATATTCCAAGCCAATAACTGAATTTTGTAATAAACCAATTAGTAGAACGTCCGATGGATGTTTATTAAAAAAAGATTACGAAATGGACAGGTCCAACGAATGAAGTTATATTGATAGACTACTGGCTGATAAGATATTCACTACTACCCTACATTCAAATGACAATAACATTTATTTGAGGTGTCACGCAATGTTGCTCGGTATTTACGCATCCGTCAAATAATTATATCCGTCGCCAGTTACTGTTTTGGGAACAGGTGAAGACTAGGAAAATGAGACTACCTGGTCAACTTGTAGCTTTCGTATAAATAGCTGTCTGTACTGCATCCGAAGCCCTAACTAGATGGCAAGAGGAAAACAATACACACCTATTCAGTCTTTTAGGAAATAAATATTGGTAGTATTACATTAAGGTAACTGTCACAAGTACATGGACACCTTCCCTGATTTTGATGCATACTATTACTAAAAACACACAATCAACTAAGTTATCACTGAAGTAGCAAAGAATATCTACTTTTAAAATAGATTTATCGAGCTACTGAGATCTAAGAACATACACATATAGAAGTGTTCTAGCAAATAAGGTGAATACTTTAAGTGCATTTAATTGGTAAGAATTTGATTAATAAACTGAAACGAACTAAGAATTTAAAGCAACCGATCACAGTCGGAATTTGTGAGCAACAAATTAAAAATACTAAAACAATGGGACAATATATCAGGTTTAAAAACACAATAATCAAGTATTAAACATGAATTTTAATTTTTATAAACAACCAAATGCAAATGGAGTGTGATAATACAGGCAACGCAATAACTATTGCATAGTGACTATAAAACATGGAACTATGGAAATAGGTTAAAAACGAACATACAATGATGAGTAGAATAGAAAATCTCGCAAGCGTATATGAGTATATGATGAATATCAACACTGTGAATTTCATGAAGTAAGCGTTTACATGAAGGAATGAAACAAACAAAACGAAGCAAAATATCGGAAAAACTTGTGTATAAATATCATCAGACACATTGTTCATACTGGAGGATCAGTGACCTACACGGTGAATGGATAGAAACGTGTGGTGTAGAGTTCAGTGGATGAGGGTCAATATAACTGACTCGTTAGTTTTATAAAAGTTCTGTATCCATAGATGAACATACAATTAAACAAAACCAGTTCTTAACGACCGGGCTGCCAAATTAACAGTATTTTCAACGAAAAACTAATCAGTCAGTTTATGATGCTTGCGAAGTGACAAGTATTTGATAAATGAGGAATCAAGATGAATTACTGTTGAGAAACCACTTCGGGTACAGCATCGAGAACAATATCCCCCGCAACAGGAGCAACAAGTGGTTGGATAACTGGTTCTTCAATGGGAACGGGAGTTTTGTGGTGAGCTTCAACATGTACGGTGCCATTGGGTTTTGAAGGTTCATCTGAATTTTAAAACCGCTTAAAAATTAGAATTACCTTTGCTAGGCTCTTGGGACCCAAAATTACCATTTAGGTTATTCATACAGTGTTCTACATTAGGATCCATCCTTTTAACACTTTCTGAGCCACATGTCACTGTTTCATTAAACGAATCCAAAGCGGCTGAAGCTTGTTTGGTTTCCAAACTATTAGGGGTCGGTAAATCTTCCTTATTCACTTGCACAAATCCAACCAATAACTGACCGTCCTCGCCTTGGGCCGAGATGGCTGCTTTGACCTCAGCACTGTCAGGTGGTGGTACTGAACTATGTTCGATAACTTCGAAGTCGGTAGAGGTTGTATTTGAATCTTGAGTTTGATTTACGACCGCGTCATTTTCCTTCGGTACCTTAACTTCATTCTTTTCGTGATCGGAACACAAATGATCTACAGAGAGTTATGTAGAACAAAGTTTATTACCATCGTCTGATTCCTTATCAACCTTGGTCTTTTTGTGAGGTATTTCCGTTAGATCATGAGTTAGTTCAGAATCCTTCACAGAACTAGTATCGATACCATTCAGCTCTTCCATACTACTCTCACTCTTAACTTGTGACTGTTGTGACTCAGTGTCGTCAGAAACCGTTTTAGCTTGTTCAGTAGACTGCCGCTGGAAGTGTCAAGCAAGAGGTCAACTTACTTTACGACGGGGAGATTTAGCCGGAGACTTGGCAGGGGACGCTGCCTGTGCAGCAGCAATTCGGGCACTAGTACGTCTGGTTACTGGACTTTCGTCAGGATTAGCGTTGGAACGGCGTGGCATTTTGCGTAGCTACAGTAACAAAAAAGTGCAAAGGTCAAACTCAAGGAACAATCAGCACAAAAATACTATTAGAAATGGTGTCCATCATAAATTCCCGGCTATTGTCTATCAACAAAGTGTGTAAATAAACAAATAGAACTGATACTCAAGCCAGTCACGAAATATTTGGGAAAGTATATAGTTCGTGTAGAATGAATGATGCTTTTGCACAAGAGTGACAGATCGTACTATAGGGATTACCGAAAATCTCCACTAAACCTGATAGTGGGATCAGAAAAAAAACAGCCATGGCTTGAACAATTGCTTATCATAGTCGGAAGCGGAAAACCTATACAGATCTCCGACCTACGCAAATTACGTATGGTGAACAGATTATTTCAGCAAGTAAACTCCTGCAGAAATGAAAGACTATGCATGGAGCAACTGAATGATTACGAGGTGGCACTTTGATTATACTTACTTGGCAATGATATTGTTGAATTCACCAGAATATCCTCACTTGTTTAACATGACAGGCTTATTTTCGATAGTGATGACAGTTTGTCTGTGTATACGCGGAATTATCGTCTGTATCTGATAAGATATATGTAACAATACACAAGACATGCTTGCAATATCCTAGACTATTACAGAAACATACAATCAACACATTTTACCAATAGAGAAACAGCTTCTGGTTATAAAACATTGTCAGAAGCAAAAATTCCTTAGTCCACACATACAAACAATTATTGGGGAACGAAAAAAAAGGACAAACTTACCCGTGCGAAAAATATGGAAAGAGGTTAGCGCCGTATGGGGAATATGAATTTCTTCATGAGAGATTTAAACAAAATATTTTTATCCACCTGGAAACAGATCGCTATTATAGTTTTTTCATTGTACCTGGCACCTAAAAAGCTTTGAATTTTGATTACTTGGCCAGCATTTTCATATATATTGCTTCCTTTCCGATTTATTGGGTATTCATTTTCAGCCTTAGTGATTGCACTCACGATGTTTAAGTAAGTAGAGGCAATTATTGTAGATGTCCCAGTACTTAAATGAATTCTAGTAAGTGTTATGCCCATATGAAGAATCATTTACATGTCTAAAAACAGGATGCTTTTACCCATTTTCGTGAATTACACTGGTTCGTTACACATGAGTCAACCCAGCAACTTGAGTTGAAACACGTCGGTAGCATGTATTGCACTCAATTGGGATTGCGGCTAGCCAAGAGGCTACGGATTTCAGTATACATTAAACTCAAATCGGTCGATTTCCCACAAAATTTACTTGGTACAAATGATCTATGTTCTATTTTGAGCACGTTTGTGAGCAACAACTGAATATTTTATTGATATTTAGGGTGTTTCTCAGTTATTCATCAATGAACTTAAATATCCCGTCAGGTAAAATGAACATAAACATCCTGAGGTCCTTTCTCAAGGTTTTGTGTATGTTGGCTAGTGACAATTCATTCATGAAGGCGTTTTAAATAAAAAAAGTGACCACTTTTCTATCTTTTAATTGTAAAGCCACTTTTATCATCATCTTCATTTCAATATTCCGTTTGTTTTTAGGCTTGTGTCCCTGTTATCACTAATTTTGTTTGCATTCTAGTCTTAATGTCATATGGATTTTGTTTTAATTGGTTTATACTCTTGACACCTGCTATATTTCTTCTTTTGATTTGCTTGGATTGATTAAACTGGGCTACCACTTGACGATAGTATTGTGTTTACGGATCACTTAGAGCAACTTATTCGTTTGACAGAACACTGGTTAACATTCCTTGTTGGTTTAATTATCTCATTATTCATGGTTTGCTTATCCACACACTGTCGTCCGTCAGCGTTAGAGCTTCCGAATTTGGTCATAAGCTGGCAGAATTGCGTCTCTCACTCCACAGAGATGCATTTCCTCTTTGACAAATAACGAGTTTTGACTTCTTTAGAAGTTTATCCAAATAATGTATTAAAGATTTGACTGGACCTCTGTAGAAGAAAAAACACTTTACATGAACACTGATTTCAAGGGGTGGTATAGTTATAAACTTCCTAAAGAATAGGATTTCCGATTATTTAAAAGGAACGTTCTTCGCATAATCTTTGTGAATAGTGTTCTCCAGCAAATCAACATTCACCAGTAATCTTAAAGATGAATTATCTCGTTTGATCAACTCTGTGTGTATTTACCAAAAGAAACTGGTACAACCTCTTCTTCTGTTATTGTCCTAATATCTCATAGTTTTCTTTTTTCCTCATGCTTTTCTTCATTCACAGCCATCTACCTACCCTTCTATCTTCTCCATAGACTATGTACCCGTAGTTAGTCTATTTCTGTTCCTATGATCCTCAAATTTACATTTCATCCACATTTAAGCATTTTATCGTCTCATGACGCGCTATCCTTTCACAATTACCATTTTCCCATTTGTCTTTATGACCGATATCCAAGGCCTTAATAACAAAACTATTATTAGTTTCTCTGATGACAAATATAGTGTTTTCATGCCTTTTTTGTTCTGACTTATTGATACCATGTTAAACAAAATTTTGTTATCACTATTATTGTAATTATTATCATCTCGAACAATAAGTATACATATGCGCTTGTACAGCCTTGAAAATGAACTCTCCAATGAGGGAGCTCTTCTCTGGATCAGTCTTTCTTATTTTGCGCAAAACTTTTATCAACGTAACTATGTACTTCTGTAATCCATTTTTGTAGTTATTGTGAACCTACAGTACAATTTTTCTTCAGAAGGCGAAGGAACTAACGTCTCATCCGAGGCATACAAAATCAAAAACTAACAGAGTTTTGACGCTACAAATGCTAAATCTGAATGCACAGATTTCTACGGTACTACTAGATCACTTTTATCTAGGAAAACGACCCGATATTTAAAAGGAATAGAAGTCAACGATAATCAAGCAGGAAGATATATTTGAATCATGAACGGATATATCATGACGCATTATATTCCATTTGCCCAGTAATTGAAAGTGTGCGCTACAGAGTACTGAAAAACGAGGTGGGGTGAATGCTTGAATGACCATCTCTAGATAGTGGTGTGTCCCTTAAAACCATGTTCAGTATCAACATAGAGACCTACAAAGCTTTTTGTTCTGAGGCATTATTTACAGCTTTATTACTGATTTGTGGTAGTGAAAGTAAAATATCATTGGTCGTTGAACGTGGACAAACAAACGCAGCATGTGGACTAATAAATTTACGATTTCCTTTCATTGATTTCTACCATGAACTAAATGAATGTTACTGCTTGTAGCTAGTACCTAGTGTTAACCCGTTTCTCTATTCTGGGTCGTAAATCCTGATCGTGATATAACATGATTAATCCTATTATTGTACTGACGTATTATCACAGTATGCTTAAGGGGCAATCTTTCAAATCGATCATTGAATGACTTTACAGTTTTTAGTATTATGAGAATCCAGTCTTCCTTGGAGTACACCAAAAGAAGTTTCTGATACCACGTGTTCATACAGGGAATTCTAATAATTCACGACTTGATGAGATAGACGTAAACTCAGACGTAGATTATCGTCCTCTATTTAGTCCGATATTTCTCAGTCTGTTTTCTTGTGTTAGAAATAAAGTTCACCATTTACGTTAATCGCCTCTGAACCCGTCCTAGAATGCCACCTGCACAATTGTGTTAAGATATTACTAATTGAATTTCATTTTCTAAATGCGACCATATGCGTCGGATATAACATCCTGAGTATATCTGCATCATAGACACAACTTGCTTACTTACTCAGATACGCTTATTACCCGTCATGGGAGGTGTAATTATGTTGTTATATCACATAGATGGCTCATATAACTAGAAAACTTAAAAAGAGTCTGTCTTACAGACTCTCATTGTTCCTAGGTCGTTAATTACGAATCCTGTAACTCCTAGACCTTTATAATCATAAGCCTTTGATGAATCTGTGTTAAACGTCTATCGCGCCAGATAGATTGAACTAATTGAGCTATCCTTCTAAACTCTCATCAATTTCGACTGCTTCAGTTACGTGTTGAACAGAATTCTATATTGTACCAGATTATAACATTGAATAAAGCCATTAATAAAAGTAATAATAATAATAATTACCAAGGTTACTGAAAATCGAACATCAATGTAAATTCCACAATACCTAGAACTCTTAATTAATTTTATGCACTCACACGGTCCGATAACCGAAAACACAGTCACTTGACAACCGAGTCATACCAAAAAATAAAGGTACATACAAAAATATGCGTACACAATACCTGAAAAATTTTACATGCATCTATTCAGTCAGCAGGTACTTCGTAATAAGGATAATGGTAATTTGCTTCTGACCAAGCAGTCGCTTGTCACTGTCACAGGGATGATCGATGATGTACAGCGAGGCTTCACGCATAGGGTGCTACCTTAGTACAGTTAATAAAAGATTGCACAAACAAATCAGGAAAAAATAACCAATGACGTGGTCATGGATATTTACAGGCTAGATACTTGAGAAGTGGGGCTGTTTAATAAGCATATTCTGATTATAAAGTGGCAAGGAGAATAAATATGGCATTGACTGTTACCCTGACGAACGCACACGTTAGGTATACGGCCGACGCATTTACAGTCGAACAGGAAAACGTTTACTCAATCAGCAAACAAGTCTCACATTTGCTGTTATCATTGAAGTCAAGTGTGATCAAAGAACCTGGAGACATAATGGAGTAATTAAGAACAATCGGTTGCGATATGTATCCTCATGGAATGAGTCCCAGTAATGGACATGAAACTCAAGTGAGGAGACCATCCATTGAATTCGAGACTTTACTGAAAGAAGCACTGTTTTGAGATACTAGTAGCATTATCATACTTGCTGTTCACCACTTTTTCATTATCACTCTTTTTCACCAAATGCTAACTCCTCAATAATAACATAAGAGCCTCTATCAATATGCAACATGTTATCTTGGTAGAATTGTGAGGTAGAAATAAAGCAGAAAACACGGTTCTGAGGAGTACGAGATATAGAATAGACAACTGATACTGAACGATCGTCTCGTCTCCAAGGTAGGTTGATTGAATTTACTACGAAGTAGAGTGGCTAACTACGAAATAATTATGAAGGTCTTCAGTAACAAGACAATCACATCCCTTAGAAATAACCATTTCAGTTAACAAAGCAGCCGTGATCAAAAATATAAACCTTAATATGGAGGTCATCAAAATCGAGAAGTTAAGTAAAGGAAAATTTAAACAGTATTTAACAACTTCCACGATATATATAGTTGGCCACTATTCAGAAATTGTAAGCGATATAATAACAGATACTAACGAGTCGAAAGAGTAACAACATATACTGAAGTTTGAGCAAAAGTATCAGAGGCTATATGCGTGAAGAAAACAGGGGAGCAGTCATAGGAGCACGGGAGAGTTTCCCCACATATTCTCACCAGAACATACAAAATGGGTTCCACTTCGTCTTATTTAATATTCCTGGAGTGATCTAAAGAAGTCTCTTTTTCAGTAACTAAAGGATTTGCCGACGATGCATCATTGTCGGAACTAACAGTTGGAAGTTGGTTGAAAGTTATGCGCATGAAGTCTGGCCCGCACTATTCACTTCAACGACCCTAAGTTCCGTATGGTCAGACTGAGAGAATTAATAATAATATTCTCAAATAACAGATTGTTACATGAGGTATGCCGGTTTACAGGCAAGATCAAATTGTTAAAGAAGTTACAATTTTCACTGTTGAAAATTACTCAGCTGGGTTGATATTACATAAGATAT